TGGGGGGGGGTGGCGATGGAGGCAGTGCCCGGGGAGGGATGCAGGGAATGCCCAGGCGGGGAGGCAGGCAGTCCCCAGGCAGGGATGCAGGCAGGGATGCCCGGGAATGATGCAGGCGGTGCCCGGGGAGGGAAGGAGGCTCTGCCCGGGCAGGGATGCAGGGGTGCCCTGGAGGGATGCAAGCAGTGCCCGGGAAGGGATGCAGGGGTGCCCGGGAGGGATGCAGGGGTGCCCGGCAGGGATGCAAGCAGTGCCCGGGAGGGATGCAGGCAGTGCCCGAGCAGAGATGCAGGCAGTGCCCAGGCAGGGAAGGAGGCTCTGCCCAGGTAGAGATGCAGGGGTGGCCGGGAGGGATGCAGGCAGTGCCCGGGGAGGGATGTAGGGGATGCCCGGGGAGGGATTCAGGCAGTGCCCAGCCAGGGAAGGAGGCAGCGCCTGGGAAAGGAGGCAGGGAACACCCAGACCGAGTCGCAGGAAGGCAGGAGGGACCCCCGCTTTTCCCGGGGCTCTGGGGAGGTGCCGATGGGAAAAGATCCTCCCTGCAGTGTGCTGGGTGTAACACCTTCACCCCTTCCCTCCCCGGCACCCAGCAGCCTCTGTGCCCTCATGCCCACCCTGTGGAAGCCCCCTGGGGCCCGACCCCTTTGGGGGAGGAGGGTAGGACCCCTCCCGGGGAGCCTTTCCCTCCTCTGACACTGCTGCTCGCTCTGCTCTTGGGCACATCCCTTCATCCCGTTGCTGTGCCAGCCCCTGGTCCAGCTGGCAGGGCCGGGGGCTTCTCCATGCCCGCTGTCACTAGGGGGGCTGCTCTGAACTGGGGGGTGGTGCCAGGCCCTACCAAGGGAGGGACATTTCTGTTGCAGCAGCTGCAGTTTTGGGGACACCTCCACACACCGAGCATTTACCTGTGTGCTGGACGGCGAGGAAGATGATGGTCACACCTCCGGGGGCTGTGGTCCAGGCCCTCGTGACACGCTGCTGACGGGCCCCCTGTGCCTCCAAGCAGACCCCAAACCCCACTCCAGCTCACTGTGACACCAGTGGGCACCGAGGTGTCCCCGTGGGGCTGGCGGGGATCATACAGGCTTTGCTGAGCCCAACCATCAGCCGCAGCACCCCTGGGCTCCCCCCAGCCTTGTTGGCACCTTTGGGGACAGCATCACCTCCAGGGGCTCCTCTCCAGGGTGAGG